AGCATATATAAATTTCAAAATACTAATTTATTTTAATTTACAAAGCACCTTTTTGGTCCTGATTTTGCTAATTCCTTTTTCAACCCTACCCTCCAAATTCTTGAGCTCCCTCAATGTCAGTCCCCCAAGAGATTCACCAAGCATGTTCCTAGACAATTAAATAAATTAAGGCTCTAATAATAATAAAAAAAAAAAAATTATAATAATTACCGGTTTTGATTCTGCAAATTACTGATCTGCGCGCGTAGTTTCGATGCCTCTTGCTGGTAATACTGAAAAGTCATAGTTAAAAAGAGAATAAAATTGAGATTATGCAAATATCAGTAGGAAAAAAAAATCTTAAACATGGAAACAATTATTTTATTTGAAATTAGCATGGCCATGTTAAACTCCTTAATTTGGAGATAATTACATATATCCAATTAGTTGAAAAAGTAAGAAAAAATTTTAATCCATAAATACCTGTGTGTTTGCTTCTGATATAGAGACATTGTTTGGGGAATCTGAGCATGCTTTTTTGTACCTCTCAATAGTTGCTTTAACACTGCATTCACCAACACACAATATATTCTCATTATAGTATACTACTTTCATTTTTTCAAATTTATAATGTGTTGGATAAACATTAACTTATAACTTGTTTAAAGTGCTGCTAAGTTTCATTCTTTCAAATAAATCATGTTTAATACTTGTTTAAAGTGCTCGTAAGTTTCTTGTTTTCAAATGAATCATAATACGATGAACTTTTATAAAAAGTTCAAACTAATATCACCTAATTCTATTAAATATTTTTATCATACCAATTAACTTTTATGGTCTCAATGTAGAAGTATTAAACGAAACAAATTGTTCGTGAGCTCGGATCGAGTGGCTCGTTTACGAGCCGTTTAAAGCTTATTCAGTAATTCGGGTTGTTAAGGCTCTAGAATGGAAATTTTTGCATAATTTTCTAAATTTTTACATTAACTCAACTCGTTAAAATTTAACATCGACTCATTAATATTAATAAATAAGCCGATTTCGAGTATTTGAAACTCAAGCTCTACTCGACTCGACTCGACTTGTTTATATCTCTAGTCATCAACTATAAATTATCAGGCGGAAGCTTGTTTATTAGCTATTAAGTAAGTTTTCAACAAAATCTACAAAACATACCCTTAA